GGGCCCGAAGGGGGCCCAGCAGGGAGGCGGCAGTTCTGGTCCTTACTGAGTAAGAGGCAAAGAAGTTAGAGTCCTTGTTAGAGTCCAAGTCTTAAAGCAGAGATTATCTGCGTTTTTATAATTTTCTGTGTTGTCATGTTATGGTGTTTAGAAGAATATAGGAAATTCTGAATGTTTTCTGTTCTTTTTTCCACTGCAAATTTTTGGTATGGCTTCAGGAAGCTTAGGAAATGAAGAAAAGATTAGGAAATTAATTTCTTAACCAATAAGGAGGGTTAGGAGATTAAGATGTCTATAGCTGCTTTTAAAAGTTGCAAAAGTATGGATTAGCCTGAAACCTTCTCTCTATTTGCTTTTATGGGTAACATTGTTTCATGTTAAAATAACTGACACTTTGCTTTTACCCAGAACTTCCTGTGTGTAAGTTGGACTTCCTTAAGAATTTCTCATGCTTTCTGTACCAGGATATTGCTTTACATGTAATTAGGGTTGAAATAGCCTGCAACTATTATGTTCTTGGGGCTTGTATTCTTGAAAGCATTGTCCTGATTTTTTCTATCTTGTTTTGGAAACCGATATTGTTAAATTGTTGTAATTTCCTTTTATTGTCTTTAAGGGTTTCCTTTAATCTTTCAAGTGTAAGGTTTTTTTTCTCATATCAAAAATAGTCTGTTTATAATTTTCTCTCAGAATGTGAATCCATGGATGATATCTCTTCCATAGATGAAAGAGTGATTTTTTTTTTTTTTTTTTTTTTTTTTTTTTTTTTTTTTTTTTTTTTTTTTTTTTTTTTTTTTTTAAATCTGTGAAGTGTTCTGGAAATGGTGTGAGTTACATTATAAAGAAAAGAAAAGAAAAAGATACAGCTGCCCAGTATTTCCCTGTTCAGGAATCCGTTGCTCCTTTGGGTGCCCAGTAGAAAAACTGAACTGACATTTGCATATATAAAGAGAGGTGATATTCATACCCTTTAAAGCATAATTAACTTGTTGGTAACTACTGTTTTCTAAGAGTCAGTCTTAACTAATGGATTTGACTTTCTTCTGAATTGATTTATGTAGCTCTTGGGAACTTAAAGATGAGGGTCTTTGTCTGGATCTGTAGGGGAAAGGGCTAGTGGTCTCTAGGGTTTCCCCCATCCTTCTCTCTTTTGGAATTTGGAAGTGTGCGGTAACTGGAAAGTGGGAAGTATCAATTGAGCTTGATGGGTTGCCTGAAATATTTCAGGTAAGGCATTGACCCCTTGTACTTGGCAGAGGTTAAATGAGCCTTAATTCAGTGATCAAGTGTTCTCTCACTTGGCTTTGCACAGCTATGTTTTTTTGTTTCGTATGTTTTTGGGATTTTCCCCTTCCTGCTAAATTTTTCAGGCCATGGTTGGTTCGTCATCTTTTCCATAGCAGCTCATTGTCCAAATGGGGTAGGATAGGAAGCAGGGTTCAAGTATATTGCAGTCTAGCAGGTGTCAAAGGGCCTTTGTACACGCAACAAAATTGGCCTTTAAAGCAGCTTAACTGCCTTTTTGCACTGCTTTAATGGTGTTGCTATTTACAGTGGGGGGCTCTGCCACTGCAGAGGGAAGGACCAGGCCTTGCGCAGCTCAGGGGCTGTGTGACCTGACACCAGCTCGTGCAGTTAGGCTCGACTGAAGGAAAAAAATAAAGTGGCACAGAGCCTGATCCTTTTTTTTTTTTTTTTTCTTCCCCTTGCTTTTTCCCAGAACCTGCCTGAGCTGCATGGGGTCTGGTGCTTCTCTCTGCGGCTGTGGTGCCCCTAGCATCCAGGAGATTAGGCTTCTTGCTGCTTTTTTTTCTTCAGTTGAGCCTGCCTGCACAAGCTGGTGCTGGGTTGCACAGCCCCTGAGCTGTGTGGGACCCAGTGCTTCCCTCTGGTGGAGGTACTCCCTGGGACCGCTTGGGCCAGGTGCCAATGGGCAGGTACCACCTGGGGGGCACTGCCACCGCAGAGGGAAGCATTGGGGTCCCCCACAGCTCCGGGCCACTTGGCCCACTGGCAGCCCCCCCCCCCCGCCCACTGTGGGAGAGGCAGGTAGGCTTTAAGGATTGGCCCCCCCTAACTCTTGTGTACATGTAATGGGGTGTTAGTTAAGTTTAGTTGTCCCTAAATTGAAATGGTGGAAATGGTGGGTTTTTAAAAACCCACCATTTCAATTTAGGGAGAATTAAAACAAACAAAACCCCCATCACTTGTACAAGTGCCCAAGATTGCTTGCAAAGAGACCCCTTGTATGGGGCAAGTTGCCTTGGGGAAATCATCCAAACATCTAGCATGTGTATAACAGAGACAGCCTTGCTGTTCCAACCCCTTAACAATCATATATGAGGAAGGGTGGTAAGGATTCAAGCAGTAATCCTGCCCAAGTGCAGAGAGGGTTTGGGAGCTTGTGGCAGCCCTCAGAAAGTTGGTAATGATTAAAGAAGGAATGATTATCTGCTCTATACAAGTAATTGTTAAATAGTTCCCATATGAAATAAGTTAATACATTTGCAGCCTAAGTAAACTATCCCATCTCTGCTTGTATCTTGTAACCGTGTCTGCAAACAGCAGGGACAACTTCTCAGAACATTTCAGTGAAGTAATTTCTTTTAGTAGGTTTATGAGACAACTTTATTGTTTTAATGCATAGTGCTAAACATATTGTATAATTGTATTCCCTTCATCTTGCAGTACAAACATTACTTTATAGTACAACAATTTAGTGTATTTTTAACAAGACCAATAAAAGAAACCTGTTTGTTTTTATTCAGTAAGGTACATGTGTCGAGCAGCATATACTAGTTTAAAATGTTCAGTCTTGTTACCTCTTTTTGATTTTAATAAAACAAATGTTCATTTAATGTACATTAAACAAATTATTTTATATGCATGCTGTATTCACAGTAAAAGCACAAAAACCTATTTGTGTGTTGTTTCCTCTGCAAGAGTTTTGTGTGGTATGCATAGGCACTGGGGTCATGCATAGGCACTGGAATACCTTCCCTTGCTAGGATATATTGTGGAAAATCACAAATTTAAACTTGCTTCTGTTTCCTTACCTTGATTTTTATCCTGCAAAGGAAATGTACATTATTTTAAACACTGATAGGTTCTTTGCATATAAGCAAAGTGTCTTAAACTTAAAATTTTAGTGCCATTTAAACCAGCCTTTTTAATTTATGAACATGACCAAGATAGACATCCTTCTAAATCAATATGAGTATATGTATGGAAAATGTGGAATATTTTGAAGGGTCATTGTGTTACATGTCTTTGAGAACTTACGGGAAAAATTCCTATATGGTTATTTTTAATATTTAGTTTAAAAAGTCAAAAATCTGATTACTTGACATTTGTTTACTGTTTTAATTAAATATATCAGGTCTCTAAAGGATTGCGTGAAATATGAGATTTACTGGATTTTTAAAAAAGTTATACTTTGTAACCGTATATTATAGTACTGATAGACTACAAAAACTGATTTTTATTGCATTTTAATTAACTCTCTAGAACTTCAGAAACTTCATTCTATATAGATAGAAGACTTAAAGTGTTTAATTTGAAGTAGGGTTATAAATTTTAAATAAAAATGTTTAACAGAAGATTGACTTATAAAGTTTATTTTCTGGTGCTGTGATTAATTTATTTTGTAGGATTATTTATCGCCCGCTGTTAGTGGCTGATTACACAGAACTGCTGGGCATACTCATGATTCTGCTAGCTGCATTTTGCATACTTGCTTAAGTCTGAGGAAAGGGCAAAAAGTGCAGCTAGATGAGATAAGATAGAGCAGAGATGTAAAGATGAACAGTATAAAAAGATAAGAATAATGTTTTAATTCCATTTTGAATATAATTCTTGTTGCATATACTTTGATTGACTCCCCTTCATAGCTAATAAAGATTGTTTTTTAATAAAAAAGTACTTTTAATGAATAATCTGCATACTTCCTAATTAAACAGTGTCCTAAATGTGGAAAACAAGATTAAAAATTATCTAAGGCTTTGAGTAGCTCTGGGATCATTGTACATTTGTAACCCTAAAAATCATTATGCTATCTTTATTTTTCAAATACAGAGCTTAATTACCATTGAAATCAGTGATTTATCTTTTAACAGTATATATTCTAAAAAGTGGGTTATAATAAAAGCTATCTTCCCTTAAAATGGCCAGTCGTGTGAGCCATAATGTTCATGGATAGTAAAATCAATAGAGCATTGATTCTAAGACTTAATCCTTGGAGACTGTTGTTCAGTACAGCAGAGACAGCCTAGTAAATACAGAGTTCTGTTTAGAGTGTTTAATACGTGCGATTTTACTATCTTAAATTCAGTTACATGCTGAAAAGGATTATATATTCTAAAGATAAGATTGTTTTGTTAATACTCATAATGCATAACGGTATTGGAAGATAAATATTGGGCAGCATTCTTTTATCAGAATTTTTTCTCCTAAGTTTTTTCACCAAATAATCTGTCTGGTGATTAATTTACCCCATTGTATCAGAGAGAGAATATATTTAGTAAATTAACAGTATAGGTGAAAACTATCATCCTTTTTGCCTTATCCCGATATGTCTTTAGAAGCTTTCAATTCATGTATAAGCAAGCATACCTTTTTATTATCAACTTTTTTGTTGAATTTGCATAGTCTGCCCTTTTGAGTTTTTTTTCAAAAATATTCTAACATTTTTTTTCTGATATTTCTAAACCTGTTTAGAAAATCAAGAATGTATTGTGGATTTTAGATTAAACAAGTATTAACAAGATTGTGGTTTCTTGGATTGATCCTGAAATAACTAGTTTTTCTGCTTTGAGTAGTTTAGTCTTTTCCTAAACTAATTGCTGAGCATTGTTTTCCTATACAAATAAGTTGTTGCCTCTAGGTTTAAATTGATTTATTGAAAAGGGAGAAAAAATCAAGTAGCAAATCAGAATTTACAATATGGATGTGAGTATTATGAAAATTGACACTGAGACATAGTTTCACAATATATATTTTATTTTGGATCCAAATAAAGCACATGTCAAAATCTTGTCTTTAAACCTTTTTCCTATACCTAATAATTTCTGCTTGCCATGAACAAATAATCATTTATCAAAATGATTTCTAGATTTATTGAATAAAGTATATTTTGCTCTTAAAGCTATTGTTTTTCCACTAAAAAAAATGAAGTAGCCTGTGATAAATCCTTTTTTTTTAAATCTCTTAGTACATCTCCAAGGTATCAATTTAATAACTATCAAAGTAGCTACTGTAGTTGTTGCATTTAAATTGATTTACATGTCAAGACTGGCAGTTTAGCAGCTGCGCTATTATTCCTGGATCGGTCAATTTACTTGAGAAAAACCTACTACTGAGTTCTACTGACCTGCATGACAATATAGGCCCTATTTCTATTCCTGTAATTAGGCCTGCGACTAACTCAGAATATTTTTAATTAAAATATTTTGGTCAATGTGTTGCACCAAATTAGGCCTTTCAGTGCAGATTTAATTCTAGAAATGGTGTGATTAGAATATGTAATGAGTTGTGCTCAATTTAGGATGAACAGGTTGTATATCTTGTATGTACAGTATTTCAGGCTTTATATTGTACCTTTTTGCCTTTTAAGAGAAAAAAACAATGTTTTTTAGATGGTTTATATTTAGTTTTTCTTTGGCTATGTAAATAGTATTTTAAAAAGAAGCAGCATTAAGTTCACTAACAGACTAATATAAGTTCACTTATATTAAAATAGTGCAACTAACAGATTTTTACCCATATCACTTTTGTAAGGGCTAGGTTTCTATATTAAAATAGAATTGTATTAAGTTTTAGTAGTAGATTGACAGCATAACTTTTGAAACAGCTGTATTAAGAAAGAATTGTCTACCCCACCATAAACCTTGATTTCTAACAATACAAGCAAGTGTTTAATTAACTGTCATAGAAGGCTTATTACTATTGCACTGAAGTTTTACTCTGACAGTGGTGGTATAAAAAAAGACCAGGTATTCCATTCATTGTTCATAGTTTTTATGTTATTGAAATCCTCATGATAATTGAGACTTTGCTTCTTGCTTTCTCTTGTTGTTTATTTTCTTTAGTTATTCACCTCTATTATGGAGACCTGATCACTTGATTGACAGGCAGGTAGAACATATGTTCATTTTAGAGCAAGTGCCATTTCATAAGTGAATCAAGTGAGGGTGCTGTAGGAACAGTAGAGTTTCCACCTTTTCTTCAGGAAATGGAATACATTTTCACAATATGTTGCCCTGAATCCTGTCTTTTTCTAGACTTGCAATTCCCAGGTTTTACAATTGACAAAGTAAAGCATATTTATAAAAGTTTTCCTGACTCTTTTTTTAATGTTGAATTTTTTTGATCATTTCTCTCTCTCAAATTAATGGTTTGATTTATTTCATTTTAAACTCCATGAAAGTCTGTTATATTTGCTACTGTAGGTATGATGATATTCTGATCAATGGACTACCAGATTGGCGACAGCCTGTATTCTACTACAGGCGGGTGAGAAAAATGAGCAATGCTGAGCTGGCATTACTCCTGTTCATTATACTCACAGTGGGTCATTATGCTGTGGTTTGGTCAATCTACCTGGAAAAACAGCTGGTAAGTATTGGTAATAAATCAAATGCAGTACAATCATTAGTTTATCTGAAATTCCTGCAAAAGTTTGTATGTTACTGGAATCGTTCCTTGTGATCTTTTTTTACATTTGGAATTTGCTTTTTATGGGATTTTAAATGTTTAATGTGAAAGTAACAAAGACGTTATAAAGCTAGGAGAATAATTGTGTTCTATGTGTTCCATAATCAAAGTCAAAATGAGATGAGTATTTTTTTATCACTTTTTTTTTAAATATGTTTTTAATGTTGTCAACTGTGGATGGTACCAATTAGTGAGGGAGAAGGATTTTTGCTCGTTACCAGAATTAGAAAGATGGCACACAACCTTTCAACCATCTATTGAAGCAGAAACATGTCCTTCTGTGGTCATGACTGTGATCGTGGCAAATTTGTTTTTAAAAAAGTGTCTCAGATCAAGCTGCTCAGTAGTCATACTTACTTTGACTGTACTTGTGTTTTCTGTAGTCAGTTTGCAAAAATAATGTGCCGTTTAAACATGATGATGAATGTTCTAGGGTCCATTTGATAAGCAATCAAAGCTGAAGTATATCTTTATTCTTTTCCAGTCTACTAGAAAGCAATAGATTTTTATTTATATGCTAAAAAATCAAACTAATTTGAACAGTATTCACACATTAGCATCTATTTACTCTTTTTATTTTCTAAGCTACATTATTAAAGTTGATGAATAAGAAAGGAGGCAAGTTGAATGCTTTTCTTCTTAGAAAACTTTGATTGCTATGGAGATGCACATGACTGACAGAGCTGGACTTCATGTGTGTTTAAGGACTGGATGCCATGGCAACACTTATTGTTAAGATAGATGATTTTACTTAATCATGTAGGACCCTAGATACATTTACATAAATGCTACTCTAATGTTTATCCTTCACAGAAGAGTCCCAGTAACGTTTGTAGAGTACATGTTAATGATAACCTGTAACCATAGTTCTCTCTACATTAAGGATGAACTGCTTTGCAAAAAAAAGAGAGAGAAGAAGAAAAAGACAGGAGGCAGGAGTATAGATGAAGTAAAACCTGGTGCTGCTGACAAAAATGAAAGGTGGGAACACACACTGGTATCTTTTTTTTATATTTAACCGACACTTGTTAAAGCCCTACTGCAGTTGCTGAAGAAACGGTTAAAATTTTTCACATGCACATCCTGTCAGACTAACCTCTGATGTACAGTATGGTCAGACCTAAAGACAATCTTTTAAATTTCCTAGCTTAATGAGTCTGTTTGTACTAACTATGGTAACTATGGATTCAGAGATTTGTTGTTATGGGTTTGTATACAAGAAATGTGATACTTATGTAGTAGTTGTACAATAGAGAATGTATAAAGGGTAATATAGACACAAAAGGATGCATCTATTTTTTGTTAACATTTTTGAAAGAAGTGTGTATTATACGATTTCTTTACTTAATTCTATAAATTGATTAACAATGTGAATTAACAAATTCATGTGCATTGAAGCTTTAATGTATTGCTTTGGTACATGCTGAAATTTTGATTATTTTTAATATCTAGCATTGTTTGATTAGCTTTGAAACGAGCATTAGTAAAGGATTGACACTGCTGTTTAGTTAAGAAACAAAATAGGGAGATAGTGACATTCAGAATACTCCAAAAGATACCACCATTTCTTCTATTGATTCATAGAAAGAAATAAAGGGTTTAAATAGTTCACACAGTGGGGGCATGAACTGGATCAATGCAGGATGGAGATCAGAGACTATTCTGCCTGTCTTTTTTTTTTTGATGACATCAGTGAGTAATGCTTCAGTGAACTGCAAATGACATTAATTTTTATGTATTGGTTTGTTTATGCTACAGTCTTCATATCTGGTTGTCAGCACATGTGAACACTTTGGTGATGGTTAGGCTTTTTTAGCTGAAGGATCATAAGGCTTAGGCATTTATTATGTGAAAGTGAAGAAAAGCCCATGTTTAACAAGATTAAAGATATGAAGATTATTAGAAGCTAGGTGATCTTGTCTATTTCTGATCTGATTTAATGATTCAGTATTCATAATGAATATTTTTATATTAATGTTTACACACTTTCAGGCTGGATTGACTATCACTTCAACATTTTTAAATGTCTAGTTTAAAGGCTTTAGGAGATTTTTCTGCCTTATATAAACAATTAAATTGTATAGTGCTACTGAAATATTTTTAATATTTACAATGGTTTTATTTTGCTGTAGAGTGTTGGACAAACCACGGTGGCAGGACTTGCTTCCATGTAAGCTTGGAATTTGGTTCTGTCTTACTGTAAAAGCATTACCTCAGCTATGCCAGGTAAAAATACAACTTGCATTCAGTATTTTTCTTATGCATTTGCTTTGACTTTATTACACTGTGGTCAAACACCTTTTAGCCAACCTAGGAATTTTCTGTCTAAACAAGCACCTTCGTCAGATACAAAAAGCTACTAAGACTATCATAATAACAACAAATTAAAAGTTCTTGTAAGCATGAATGTGTATTTATAAAAGGAATAGTGTATATTAATATACTATATAGTTTTGTTTGTTTTCATATTAATTTGTACTCTGATTTATAAAATGACAAGATGAATTTTGCAAAAATAACAGGAAAGGGAGGGTGAAAATAATATGCTTTTCCATGAATTTCAGGAACTACGGTTCAGAAACTACTATCTTGCATTAAATTGTTTTTCAACAACATAATTTTTACTTAAGTATATAAAAAGTACAGTATCTGTGTAATAAATTTGATTTCTAGCCTAAGTTTAATGGGAAATGGAGAAAATACAGTGCTTTGCTTTTAAACTTGAGTCTTTGTAGTTTTATCCTTTTAACTGGCAACTGTTATCCATGTGTGCCTAACAGTTAAAAAAAATAATGAAAACTTTGTATTGGTATAGGAACTTAAATCTGGCAAACTTATACACTCACAGTCTTGTCTTCTCTGCCCTCCTAGGAGTATAACAGGAGACTAAGTTAAACGAATACTATAAAAAAGAATGTTGTGCAGTATCTATGACCAGAGGAGTGATTATGGGGGAAAAAATGAGACCTTGTATAACAGATTTCCCTCTCTTATTTTTGATCGTCTGCTTATTTTTTAAATTTAATACTCCTACTTGGTTTTGTGGAACTGTTATGGATTAGCGGAAACGAAGTGGATTATGTTTTGCCTTACCTGTCACCAACAGAATTACTAAAATACTGATCCTGGACCTGTCTGTGTAAATTAAACCTAAATTCCATTTCTACCCTCTTGAGTTTGCAAAACTGGCAAATTTAAACAACAAAACTACTACTTTTACTTGTTAGTAGAAGAAGAACATTATATAGAAATCAGACGTGTTAAAGATCTTTTCATTTGTCTCGGTTAAGCTTTGAAGTTGATAAACCATTGAGGTGAATGAGGTGGAGGAGAGGTGATGTCAAATTACTGCTGCTATTTTTGACAGTTTTCTGTATTGACTAACAGCATGATGGTTGCACATCTTATTGCTTTCAAGGGTTTCTTCAATAGCATACAACTGTTATCCAAAAAAAGCTTAACATTTTGAAAAATATTACACAGTTCTGTAAAAATTATGAAGGCCTTAATTGGGATTATTGTTAGAGATATGTTTTCTTTTACTCTTCATATTTGGATAGCTTTCTGTTATTTAATTGACTTTTTTTTCCCAGTAAGCATGTACTATTTTCCATATCCCTTCTGCTCCAGAAACAGCCTCTCTATGCATTAGTCTGAACAGAGAATATATGTGGTGAGGGTGATGTATTGAGAATGGACTGCTAAAAATGTTAGATACCTGTTGAGCCATGTCTCAATGACTTTTTCAATCATTTAACTTTATTATTGATGAAGTTGCACTCTTTTTCTTGCAATGGCACACTATAATAAACACTATTTTTAGTTTAAATTAAAAGTTCCATTTTTAGTTTAATGTATTGTGTACATGTAGTTGGTGATGGGGAGAATTTTAATACATTTTTGGAGAAGATTAGACTTCCTTGTGACCCACCTTTATCCGTACTGTTCCAAATAGCTAAATAGTATGTTCTTGAACAAATGCATTCATTTTGCTGAGACCAAAATGTTTAATCTCTAAAGTTTTTCTGTTTCTTTTTAAAAAGAAAATGAGAAAACTAATTTGCAATTTAAAATTATACCAAATGGCTCCAAGAGTACATACTTATGAAATAGGGCATGTTAATTACCGCTTAATGCAGTTCTCCCCATATAGACTATTTAGATTTGCCTAGCTTTTGCCCATGTCTAATTCTTATTTATCCAACCGAGCCAGTGTCTTTCTTTCCTCATGCCTCTCCTCTTTCAAAAATAGCAAATCTAAGAAGGAGGCACTTAAAGTAATTAAGATGGACCTTTTTACTTGAGAAAAATGCTTTGTTTGCATATTGTTGTGAAAGGCTATGTCATTTTAACGTTCTCTGCATTTTGTCATGGAATTACAAGGAGGAGGGAGGGGATGTGTGAGAAAAATGTAGAACTTTCAAAACTTCATTATATAAATATTGTGGTTCAAGATCATTTTGCTTATCTGATTTGTCTAATTTGGGAGAAAGAAAAATGGAGAAAAAGAAAATAAGTTTAAAAAAAATATAGCGATGGACTTGTTGAAGTAGTGATGTAATAGAAAGTAGATGGTAGTATAAATCAAATCTTAGTATTGCTTTTTGCTGAGTTTGTGAAACAGTGTTAATTTGTATTGTTCAATGGAATTGGTACTGGAATAAAATATTGTATGATCTGTACTACAGGGACAGGGTTGAACAAAAACGAAATAAAGATCTTTGGTAGGAGTCAGAGGGAGGGGCAAGCTATTAAATATATTTTTGTTTATTCTTTCACACTGACCTGGAAAAAAGGCTGCTGGTGTCCTTTTTATGAGTGCATGTGTAAGATTTTTTTGTTTTAAAATTGGGTTAATTATGGATTTTATTTTAATTATAAATGCATGCCACAAAAGCTAACAAACAGAAATAAATTGGATTAAAAAAAAAGGTTGACAAGGTGCAAGTGAAGAGAGAGAACTTATAGAAATAGAACAATTTCTTGAATGCTCATGTTAGTTCAGTTTATATTGTTGCTTTTAAAAAAACTGAAAAAACTATAATATACTAATTTTGCTTTTGAACAAGTATTTTTGTACCAGCTGCCATGTTACTTGTGGTAGAGCTTAATGAATATATATGCCTTCATTTTGCGCCTTCATTTTGTAACTTTGATGCTAGTACAGCTCTAGGAAATGTTAGTTAAATTCTGATCTTGAGTGGTCCCTGCTGTAATGGAGCAGGAAACATTTTGTCTGGTTCCTGTGGAAATAGACTCTTAAAAAATGAAAAATCCCCATTATCTGAAGCATAATTATGCAATCTTCATAGTATACTCCTGTTAATGGTTTGTTGGAAAGACTTTTAGTTGTCCTTCAGTGGTGAGAAGGCAGTTCAGTCTCCATATGTATTTGGATGGAGGGTAACCTACTGAGATTTGTCAACAAGATTTCCAATTGTGATGGGAACTTTTGTGATACAGACCTTGTCTACAAGGAAATAGGCTAAAATAAAAAGGCCACTAATTTATTTCATGTAGACCACCAGATGGTAATTACTTTTACTGATTTACTAGCCTGGACTAGATTCAAACCACTGACCTAGAGGTGTTTAATTTCTTGGCAGCACAGTGTTGAATTAAAAGAAAAATCCAGGAAAAATTTCTCATCACTCTTCACCAGCTGTTTAAAGATGGTTCAATTCTGGCCTGAAATGGATCAGCAGTGTCTCATTAATCTCAAGAGGGCTTATCAGATGTGCTTCTTCTTTGGCAAGGCTATTTTCAAATACTTTGTTTGTTTTCTGACTTGATAAAACTTTTCTTTTTGTGTTTTGTTTTCATGTTTCACTTTATTTTATTGTGAAACATGTTTACTATTACATCTGTAATCTATTGTGTCTAAATAATATGGTTAAAAGGGGGGTTTCCAGTCAAAGGATTTAACCTGGGGAAGACTCTTAAAATTCCATATGGATGACTGCTAGAAAATGCCTAATTTTTCTGGATTTAAAATTTATCACTGTTGATGCACTGGAGTAAGCAGGGTGAAGAGTTTCTAATCTCCAGGGGACAGGGTGTTGCTGACTGTGGGAGGAATGCTCATTTACACTACCCTGAACCACTTCTTTCGTCATAGGAGAACCGGAAGTAGGGAGGTAAAAGTCAGGCAGTAGGGAAATAGCTCAGAAATGAATAGGCAGTAAACTAGGGAGTGAATGAAGTGTTCAGTAGTGGCAATATTTCACTTGAGAGGGTGGCGGCGCATAAGTTATAGGTGAGAAGAAAAGCTCTAAGCAGCATATATCTTCTGTTGCTCAGAATATTATACTAATTTTTTTATTATTGTTATATAATATTTGTTTAAAGACATTGATAAGTAAGTGTTTTCTTACTTAGCCTTCTTTCCCATTTTGGTCATTCAGTTAAATCATTATGCCAAATTTTTGATATCTCATTCATTACCATGACAACACACTGATGTCATTAGAATATTTAAGGCAATGAGACAGTGTTTTTTGTCATGTGGTGATAGGCATTTTTATTACAAAAGGCAAATCCGGGGTTGTCTTTTTTTTTTTTTTTTTACAGTAAACACATCTTGTCTCTTTATCAGTATTCCTGCACAAATAAAGCATCATTAATATGTACTTGAGATTTGTTTCCATGATTGATACTGCTTTCACACAAACTGCAAGATTATTGCAACAAAACGAAAACAAATCCTTTAAGATTTCAAAAAATGGAAATAAGTAATAGGATTTTACATGAACATTACTTTTTCTCTTACAGTGTGTATATTTGATTAATAACATTGTTGACACACAGAAAGCACAGGACAATGATTAAATTTCATATTAGCCATTTTGTCACCTATTTGTGTGTGTTGGGAGCATGCTGCTAGATTGGATTTTTCATATGAGTTGTACTTAATTTCAATGCACGATTATACTGATTTCCACCCCCCCACTCCCCCGGCAGGTCTTATTCTGTCATGGAAGATGCACTGGGGACACACCTGGTCCTGTGGGACTGGTATTATTTCTTTAAACCCCTGCATTGTTTTCCCTTATGAGAGGAATAGAGAGGAGTATGTTACAAGACCTAGTATTAGACTTTAGGTAGTGGCACTGAATTCATAAATGTTTGAACAGCAATAGTCCATTCTCTTGAGAGAGCATTTATTGAACCCAGCAACTTCCAGGACATGACAAAGAACAGAAAAAACTTTGCTTAAGGAAAGACAG